GTTCCCGGCGCCCAGCCACAACTCCTGATGGGTGAAGTGAGGCTGGTATTGGAGAACTGTGCCTGATGTGGGACAACCAGCTATGTCATACAAGAGAAAAAAGCAGAGACAGTAAACTTGTGCGACTCCTTATTCCATATCGTCTGTGCATGTCAGGAGCGGGGCTCGCTTTAAGCTATAAAATTGTTTAAACCGTGATGAAACGGCAGGTATACTTGACAGATCTCTTAAATTCATGTAGCGACCCCTGTTCTGTGGAGCTGCCTTCTGTTAGCTTTCGCTTTGAGCAGCATGTCTTTTTCCGTAAGAGGAAGATACGCTTTTTCTTTCGTGGGTGTAATGTGTGGAGGAAAGCAGGAACATCGGGCTTTGCTTGCGATAGAGCATTTTTCTTTCAGATGATACAATTAAGGAAAGAGAGACACTGTGAAGCTGGGAATGGGTATAAGCTCCAAAATTCACAGACTTGGAAGATCTGCTGAGGATTACAGAGTTCCCCAGATGCACTTTTATTCAATTCCTTATTTACTGTCAGCAGAGCTTGTAACAAAGCAGAAATCAAAGAGTTTTTTTCTGATTATTAGCTACTTTGGGAACTCATACACCACAGTAATGGAGAGGAAATCAGCATGTCTTTTGGCTGAAGCCAGGCTGCTTCAACCTGTTTCTGAAGGTTACAGAGTAACAACAGGTACCAGATGAGAAATGATTCTCAAACCTCTGTAGAGACATTCTCTTCAGTGAGAGAGGAGGCTGGGATGGTAAAAACCTGTCTTTGATGTTTTTAGAGCTGATCTCTTAAGCCCCAGATTCACCTAAGCCTTGCAGGAGCAACAGATGGGAAAGCCTATGGAAAAAGCTGGGGTTTGCTGCTTGACGTTAACTCTTTGGCCAGATGGGAGGCTGTTCTGTTCTGGTTTTAAGCAGAAAAAGTGCTTTTAAGCACTATTTGAATAGAGATGAAGTGATAAATTGGGGGGAGGATTGGAGGGAATTCTTCTCTTGCTTTTATTTCTTGCATCGAATGTGGGGAATAGAGCCCTTATCAATTAGCGTAGTCTGCTTTCCACTTCCTCTGCTGAGCAGGTCCTTGGCTTACAGCAGGTCTGGGCACCATCTAGAGCAGCATTTCCAAGAATATTTGACTTGAGCCTTCCTCTGCTGAAATCTCCTTGACTTCAGTGGGAGCAGTTAAATCATTCGATGCCGTTTGTATGTCCCACCTTTCATGTCTTCTTGAGACTGCCTCAGGCTGCTCGTGAACTTTGGTCCTTTCTCTTCGGTCCACAGGCTGAGTCAAACCATAACCCCAATAAAAGAGATGTGCCATCATCTATTGGGGAAATGGATTTTCTTTTGATAACTTGAGATCAAGTGCACTGGAAGAAAGCGTCTAATTTTTAAATCACTTTGATGCCAGTATTATGTACAATTTGGTGCATCTTGCCGACAACTCTACTGGTTTCATCGGTGCCAGAGAGATCATAACAGAGTCAGTAAGAAGGAAAGTTGGACTTGCTGCTACTTAGTGTAAGCGCATAGTGTTAAGGTTCTGGAGACCTGTGTTATTGAAAGCAGGTTTGTGGTCTGCTTTTTCTAAGGTTTTTCTATTTCTTCCTTTTCTCTCCTTTTCTTTTCTCTTTTTTAGGGTACTGGCTACCTAAAAGTGATCCCACATTTCATAGTAAAGCTAAGGGTTTTTTTTTTAAATTTTCTCCAAGTAAGAAGATAGTTAAGTGACTAATATATTTGACTATTTGTGATTGTTCCACGTGCCAAAAGCTTCACGAGTGATGTAACTTTCTAGCTGCGGTCCATTAAAATCTGTCAAGTAATTAAAGTTTGGTGGTTAAAGTGAGCCCAAGGAACGAAGCAGAACAGTATTTCAAAACGGTCACTTTTTTTCACACATCCCCTTCCCCTCCTGATGGCCTGTGATTCATTTTGCTTTTTATTTTGTGCAGATCTGCAGCCTGTTACCTACTGCGAGCCAGCTTTCTGGTGCTCGATATCCTACTATGAACTCAACCAGCGAGTGGGAGAGACTTTCCACGCCTCTCAGCCCTCCATGACCGTGGATGGTTTCACTGACCCATCCAATTCTGAACGCTTCTGCCTTGGTTTACTGTCTAACGTGAACAGAAATGCAGCAGTGGAACTCACAAGACGACACATTGGTAATTTCTGTTTCCTTGGTTTAGTCAGTGTCTTTCAGGGTGGAAGGAGGAGACCTGCACATAAAGCTTTTTATTTAGCTGATCGGCACGCCGCTTGGTCAGTTTTAGAACATTGCGATGTTTGAATATCCATGGTGTTTTAGCAGGCTAATCTTCCATAAAGGAACACTAATTGTATTTTTTTCATAGAATTATAATAAAAAAATGCACTGAGGAACACTAAAATTGCTGCATATAACAGAGACAGAATTTAAACTTTTACATGCACTCTTCTATATTTGGATGGTTTTAAGTGATTACCTTGTGTATTCCTTTTCCTTCTTGCACTATTTTGTTTTCTAACTGACTGTCCTTTTATAAATGGAAACTTAGTTCCTTGATTTTTGTCTCAATTTCCACTTCTACTGCAAGGTAACATTCAATTTTGTTTTCAGTTAAACTGGCACTAAATAGAATATCTCAGATTTATGCAATATTAGTAAAAGGCAAAATTGCTTATCCTTTGCTGTATTTTTTGCTGACTTCTATAAAAAAGAACCTGCTTTTTGTCCTGATTTTACTCCCCTTTATACCTATTCCTGAGCAGTAAACTTTCATACAGGAGGATCTTTCCTACGTGCTTTTAATATGATTTCTAGCACTAAACCCACCCCAACCCCCAAAAACCAACCAAGATTCAGAAATCAGTCTTTACATTCAGCAGGCTCCTTCTGCTCTGTGGAAGAATGAAAGCAAATAGGAATTTAAGACCACAGCAAATGAGCAACAAAGATGTATCCTTGAAATTTGTTTCTTTATTAACTGAGGTTTTAATAATTTGTGTAGACTCCTGTAGGAAATATGTTTGTCCTTGTATACAAAGTAATCTCAAGCAAAAGGCAATGATTTGAAAACGTAGTATAATTTAATTCCAGATCACTAAGTAAATAAACAAACGGTTGTGTCCCGCTGTGATGACTTTCAGAAAAGGTTGAAAACCGTATGTTAGCTGATAGAACATTCATATGGAAAATATCAGGAGTAAGCAGGCTGTGAGGTGGTAAATTTATGCATCCCAGGCTGTGATTGACAGCGAGGCCGGAGAGTTCTGGTTTTATAAATTGGTCCTCCTGCCTTTCTCAGCTGAACCTGCTCACAGAGCAAACGTACTGCTCCCGAATGGGAGTACCCAGTGGGCCAAAAGAGGCGGTTTTCGTGTTCCACCATTCATAGCTTAGCTGCTTTTTGAGAGCTGTCTCATGCAGAGGTTGTCTACGTCTCTACCAGCTCTTCTTGCAGACTTCACGGATGAATGTTCTAAGCTAAACCAAAACTGTGCCGTGTGTTTCCTAGGAAGAGGAGTAAGACTCTACTACATTGGCGGCGAGGTGTTTGCCGAGTGCCTTAGCGACAGTGCCATTTTTGTCCAGTCTCCCAACTGCAACCAACGCTACGGCTGGCACCCAGCAACAGTTTGTAAGATTCCACCAGGTAAGGAAGTGTGCCTTATCTGTGATCCTACACAGGCTTCACCTTTTGCAAATGGATTTGCTGACCTCCGTTCTTGGCAGTAATCAGAAACTTGTACCCTATTATAAGCAACTTCACAACTTAAGCAGGGGATTTTTTATAGCACTACATTCACACACGTGGGAAGAAAGAGTGCTTCAGGACCTAAGCAGAACCTGCCAGTTGTTCCGTGCGGTGTTTTATCAGTCCATTATTGTATTGTAATTATGTGACAGTCATGTTTATAATTTTGTTTGTACATTTAAATAAAAGAATATACCGTAAGAAATTTTTCTTAATTTAGATTCACCCATAAAAGATTTAAATCCCTACTTTTTTCTGTTCTGTAGTAGAACTTCCCTCCTTTGTGAAGTGGTTTTATTCTAAGGTAATCACATTTTCAGGCACCTTGTTGTTCTGTTTACAGCAAACTTATGTCTAAAGTATGCTGAAAGATTACAAGAGAATTTATTGCATCTGTCTAGGGAGAAAATACTTGTTTTCTCAGATACATGCAAAAGAGCTAGGATGAGAAGATGCCATTCAAAAGGGAATTCAGCTATGTAGCTAGGCTTACCAAAGCTAATTTTTTACAGTTAAAAGTATGTGTATATTTAAAAAATGAACTTTTTTGCTTAGAAATATTTGAATAAAGATTGTCTGTCTTTTGAGAAGAGATCCATACGCTGCAAGCTGTGGCCTATCTTAATGGGTTTCCTTTCTCGGATGCTTGGGAAGCAGCTGCCAGTGTTGCAAACATGACTTAATTCTCCAGCCACATCACAAGAGTCCACCCCGGCTGGAGTCAACATCTGAAGACATAAACAACCCACATTTCCGCTGTAGATTCATCTAAAGTGCATTTTTTTGGACTCCAACTCTCCCCGCTTTTGCCACAGTCTTTGGCCGCCTTCTCAGACTCATCTTCAAATCTTTGCTGGGTTTGAAGCAATTTCTTCATTCCCTTGTTGACGAGATCAAGTCGTACCTGCTCCTCCCATGCACAGTCGTGGAGAGACCTGTTGCCATCCACTCCTGAAGTCTAAACAGCTTGGCAGTCAGATCCCAATCAAGTTTTTTTTTTTTTTGCTTTCTTTGCCATTGCTCTTTCTCTGCGCTCAGGCTGGCCCTGATGCTCTCACCCTTCTTATTTTCCCTCCTTAGACTCTAGTGAGCCTGACGCAGCTTCCCTTCGAGCTCTATGCAAGATACATGGCTCTTCGGCTGCGCTCTTTTATGGTCACAAAGCTGGGTAGTTGTTTCTGCAGCTGCTGAGCTGTTGCACGCGGTTACACTTTGCTATATGCAGTTCGACCCAAAACAGATGACACTGTGAGTCCAGCCCAAGAGAGCAGGCTCAGAAGTGATTTTAGAAAAATACAATTCATCGCAGTCCAAATGGTTGTTTTTCAGACTTGGCCCGTATGTAATCCCAAATGAGCATTAGTTGTGTGCCAAGTTTTAGAGTTTAACTTGTTTCTGGTTATCTGGGAGAAAGCAAGCACAGCAACACTCTCTTTAAGAGCTGTGTGCGCGCGATTATTTATTTATTTAAACCGTGAAGGCTGTTGTTGAATCTAACCTTTATCACCTAAAAACAGTTAAGTTGTTCTCAGTCTTTTAGCTGGGACTAAACATTGGGGGGAAACTCCCATTTTGAAGGAAAATTCGTTGGCTCATGATAGTTACATTTAAGGGATGATTGTAGCAGAAGCAGCTCTGCTACCAGTCTTTTTAACCCCGGTGACTGGTTTCTGGTGTGCCAGAGTGGTTTCACTTCAGAACTTCTCCATTACTTCTCCTGACAGACACCGTGTAAATCCAACACCAGCGAGTTGATCTTTTTAGCCTGTGCTTTCCTTTCTTTCAGGCCCCGTCGTGATTACTGTTGTTAAGAGTTATGGTCATAATTGGGGTTTTAAATTACAATGTGAGGGAATTGATTGTAAAGGAGACAGAGGGAGGTTCCACATGGGGACCCCAATCTGGTCTCGTCGATCGCAATCTGCTGTGTGGGCATTTGCATCCTGCCCTGGAATGTGGTTTTCTTCCTTTTCAGCGTATGAGCTGTGGAAATCTGGCAACCTTGATTCCTTTTCTGAAATGCTGTGTTTAAAGAATCTACATATGGTATCCCATGGTCTGGGGACATGGGAGAGCAGCATTCCGTTTCCTTCTGTCCTCGGAAAGAAATGGATTTCTTAATCTAGTTAAGCTAATGCCTTGTTCTTGTCATGTTCTTTTTTCGCAGGATGTAACTTGAAGATTTTTAACAACCAGGAATTCGCCGCTCTCTTGGCTCAGTCTGTAAATCAGGGCTTCGAAGCTGTGTATCAGCTGACCAGAATGTGCACAATTCGAATGAGCTTCGTCAAGGGATGGGGAGCAGAATACAGGTCAGGCCCTCTGAATGAAACGTTGTGGTACGCCTCTGCTTCCCGTCGCCACTCCCGTATTGCACAGCCTACAACAGTGTCCTGCAAAGCTTCTTTACTCAGCTTTTAAGATCATAGAATCATAGAATGGTTTGGGTTGGAAGGGACCTCAAAGCCCATCTAGTTCCAGCCCCCTGCCGTGGGCAGGGACACCCTCCACTGGACCAGGTAGCCTAAAGCCTCACCAAGGTGAAGGGAATTAGCGGAGCGTCTCTTGAGTATTGCAGATAGCTTGTAATTGTTGAGAATGGGCTGGTCTCCTTGTTGATCTTGTTTTTCCCATCCTATTTGTGCAAAACACACACCGTGTGATATATGTGGAAGACCACTATTTGGTCGCAGTATTGTGTGAACCAGGAGCATTACCTGAAGCTCAGCAGATAAATCCAGATGGCCTGTGTAGGTACTATTACATATTTTTTCTTAAAATTAGATGTATATTTGATAGTTTGAGCGTCTTACGACTACATTGTTACCAGGACCAGGATCAGTGCGAGTGCTTCCTAACAGATACAGGTCAGGTTTGATGCTTCTTTTATCAAGCACTAATGGGATTAACATAAAAACGTACTGGCTTGAAAATTTACATTTGGAAGAGCTGTTAGAGTTGCTGCAAAACTGTAGTTAAATCTCCTCATCCTTTCCTTAGTGCTTGTTGCAGGGCAGTTGCTTAAATGTGACTGGAGTGAATATTGAAGATAAAAATAGAGATGCAGTGGGGTCTGGTGTTTGGAATCGACGATGTGGTTATTCTGACAACACGAGGACAGTGGAGACAGCGTGAGGGACGGAGTACTCCGTGGCTTGTGTTGCTGTCGCTCCACGGCGTTACCAAGCAAACGTCCCTAAGTGGCAAAGGGAGTGAAATCGGTGTTGAATAGTACGAGCAGGGGAGATGAACTTCATCAGAAAATGAATGTCATTTTATGAGAGAAAGCTGGCATGGATTTAAGCCAAATGTGATTCTGAAATACTTGACTGCGTACCCTCTAAATCGGTGGCCTTATTTGAAAATCCGGGGGCAGCCTCTGCCTCCCAGAGCAGCAATGCTGCCTGCCGATGCTCCCCTCGCACCGCTGCCCGCAGCGGACGCGGGAGATGCCACAGCATCAGCTGGAGCCTGGGCCCTGCACGTTACTCTCCGACTTTCTTCATTTCTCCAGATGTTTGGAGTCCATTTTGTTTTGAAATTGTCCTGCACGCGGGCCAGAGCGTTTCAGCCCTGGCTCGCAGCCACGGCTCATAATGAAATCCAGATGAGCATGACTTACGGAAAGTCAACTATCTCATTAGAGTATTGTAGGCAGTGAAACCCTACGCTCGCGCTGACCGTGCCGAAGCTGCTCTCTTGCTCCGTCATTTCCTCGCCACAAAATACTACATCTGATTGCCTTTGTCAGAGCATGTTTATTTGTTGAACTGATTCATATATGAAAATGTTACGGTGGGAACTGCATCCAGAGCACTGTTCCAGTGATTTCTGGTTCAGCTGCTTAGCCTTTTGAGCAGTCACATTCGTGGGGTGCTTAGTGCTCTTGTGTGCCAGGGATTTGGTGGAGGGAAGCGGGGAGAAGCCCATCGCACGAGCAGCCTGTGATACGGAGGTTCTCCTCTGTCCAGAGAGAGCCTGGTGGAGCGAGCTGAAAGCACGGAGAGCTTTGTGGGTTTGTCTTTCTGAAAGGCTGGAGCCGATGTGCTGGTGCTTTAGGTGGGAAGGCAGAAAGAAGCTTGCTGTGATAGATTTGCAGAGGGCAGAAGTGCGGCCGCTCCACAGGTGGTGGTGGTTTTCTGTACGGTGTTGCTGGGGCAGTTGCTGGACTGCTCAGCGTTACCCTGGTTTCAGGCAGCAAAGGGGAATGCTCTGTGTTAAGGCAGACTTTATTTTTTGCTGGGACCTGAGAGGTTTGTATGCTCCACTGAAGCGGACAGAGAGAGGTGCCCTGCTTTCCCTGTCCTGCGGTCCTCCTGCCCAAACAGCTCACGAGACATCCTTTAAGGCAAAACACTTCGCATTAAGTCGCCGTGCAGGACAAGCCCTGCCTGTACGCCCACTCCCGGGGCATCGCCTGGCTCCGGTCAGCCGCGCCTGAGCTGGGAATGGGTGGGGTGCCTTCAGGGAGCTGCTTCCATTTTCAGCGCGAAGGATGAGATCTACAGATTCATCAACAGAGCGGGTTACAGGCCTCGGCCAAAGCCTTGCAGAGCCGTACCCCAGAGCCCCGGTCCTCCGCCCCGTCGTGAAGGGGCAGGGATGGTGCTGGGAGCGCAGGAGCCCCACGGACCAGGGGGACAATCCCCCGGGGAAGGGTCTCCTTTTCGGCAGCAGTTTCTCCCTGGGCCCCGCAGACTTTGGCTTCTCCCTCCCACAAACAGATTCCAAGGACAGCTTCTGTGGGAAACGAGGGTGTAAAACAAGGCTGTTTCTAGGCTATTGCGCTCTCTTCGTAATCCTCCTCCTCCACAGCAGCTGTCCCTGCCTCTCTGCCTGGAACAAGACTTAAGCCATCCCTCGGCAGAAGAGGGAGAGCCCCTTGCCCTGTGCCTTGGCCTCGCTTCCCTTCCTTTCCTCCTCATCTCTTCCTGCTTCCCCATCTGGAGACACTCCACGGGGTCTGGCCTCGGGGAGAAGAGCAGAGAGGGGGTAGGTGCTTTTATGGCGGGGGAAAGCGAAAGCGTGGTGTGCGCTGACCCAGCAAGGCATCCCCGTCTCTGGCCACCGCTGCCAGCTCTTGGTGATTTTAAAACACGTGGTTTAATACCATGTTTCTGCTTTTTCTGATGGGTTTTGCAACTTTTCACGCTCTGCAGCATTTCTGTTGCTTTTGAGGCAGCTGATCAAACGTAGATCAGTTGGGGTGCCCCATACACAACGTATGTCATGTAGGGTTCACACCTCCAGCGCGTCCTCCCAAGCCGTGCGAAAAGGAAGCTCGGCGGCAGCTCCGGCCACGCAGGGCAGAGGAGGGAGTCTGGGTGGCGCGGTGGTGAGCTCTCCCCGTCACTCCCACATCCCGCGAAAACCTAAAGATATGGTGAAAGAGAATATCCTGGTCTTGCAGATAGAGAAATTTAATGTATTTGGTAAACTGCTTACTTTGCTATCTGATTAGGAGAGGCAAGGTCTGCAAAATGAAACTGAAGAGTCTTGCTTAGATAAGCACCTTCCTTTTTCTTCAGGGAATCAGATGTTGCCTGTTTTCAGGAATCTGAGTAGTTAGTAGGTTATACTGTGACTTTCTCCTTTGGGATGGTAAGAAATGTAAGGAGAAAAGGTAGGGGTTTTAAAAGTTGGCAGCATAGGCCAAAAGCGTGTTATAGAGGAGGGAGACATTCCTTTGGCCCCACGTGCAGGACTATTGTCTAAGCAGGAAAGAATGCTTCAGTAGCTGTAAAGCCTTCTCACGTTTGTGAAGTCTTGTAAGTCACGTTTATGTTCTTTTTTTTCTTCTCTCTCCCCCGACCCCTTCTTTCTCATAGGCGGCAGACTGTGACCAGTACTCCCTGCTGGATTGAGCTGCATCTCAACGGTCCTCTGCAGTGGCTGGACAAGGTCCTCACGCAAATGGGCTCCCCGAGCATCCGTTGTTCCAGTGTCTCCTAAGGAAACGTGTCGTGGGGGGCGGGTGGGGGGAACAAAGACTCTGGAAAATGGAATTGGCTTAACCCTTAGCAAAATGCATAGTGCATCGTCAGCAAATTCCCAGTTATTGAAGTGATGAGGAAAAAAATCTGCTAAAAAAAAAAAAAGTGGGTTTTCTTTGTTTTGTTTTGTTTTTTTTTTAAACTAAATAGCCATTTAAGCCACTTCCACTGAAACTGTTAGCACTTTGGTTACAATGCTATGGGCCATTGCAGTTAGAATTTGAAGCTGAAGTTTAAAAACTGGACTTTGTTACAGCGGAGAGAAGCCAGTTCTGCCTCCAGCCGTGTCGTGCCTGTGCGGCCACTCGCTCCGTGCTGCTCTGAGCACGCAGGAGCCACCGACGGCTCGGAGGAAACTTTCCATTTGCCTCGCGCAACTCCAGGCTCCTGTCACGCAGCATCTCTGCAAAGCCAGATATCGTGGGACTGCGGGATGACTCTTGCTCATGCATTCCTGTCGCCATCCACACCTGTCCTCCCTGGGATTGCAGCGAGAGGGGGAAATAAAAGCATTTAGAGCTCACAAGAACTAATTCCCCCAGTAAGGTTCCCAAAAGGAGTGAATTTCCCACGCCGGACTCCTAACAAGGAGGCAGAGCCTGGCCTCATGCCTGAGGGATGCGGCTGATACCCCGATGGTCTCAGGCTGGACTGCGAGGAAGCAAAAGGCCAAACTTCAGGCTGCTCCTGGTATCGCTGCAGCAACTTTCGACTTGAGCTGCTCGCAGACGGACATTTGTCACGTGGGGAGCTCTGGCTGGATAAGTGAAGCCTTCGTTATTGTGCAGTCTGTTTGCATTAACTACAGAAAGTTTGTGTTCTATTTTCTCGGTATGTTGAACGGTATCTGCCACTTCTGAAGTCTTAGGGGCTTAGTGAATTCAGTGTCCAGGTCTGCTCTAGTGATAGAAGTGAACAGGCCCTTGCTGCCATTTTCAGAATACGCAATTTAATAGGTTGTCCCATGCTGTCACACGTGACTGCGCGTAAACCAGGACATCTCAGACACGAACCCCCTCTGTTTAAAACTTATTTCAGCTGATTAAAATGCTCTGAGATGTGTTTTTGCCTGGAGAAATTGGGAGAGTGTGTATTTGCTTGTATTATAAAATGTTCATTTTAAATATACATGCTCCAGACTGTTTAATATTTTTTTTTCCCTGCAGCAGCTGTCATGGCAAACAACTTCCACAACTGGAAAAAACCCTTAGCACTTGTTTTTATGGTTCAAATTTGCCAAATAAGTCTCATAACTTTGTCAGTGCTATCCAATTATCTGTTTCTTTATATCTGCGTTGAATATCATATGTGTTTGTGCCAAACTATTAGAAGGGGGAAGGGAGAAAGCGATAATCAGTTTCCTATGGAAATCTTTTTTTCTCTTCTTTTCTTTTTTCAAATATGAAAGACAAACACACAAGCTAGATCTGGCTCTGGGAAGGACAGACTCGGATGGACTTTACAGCGGTTTGTGTTAAGGCTTTAGTCCTGCAAACTTTTGTGCTCCCACATGCGAAGGCGAGCGGCTCCACCGAGTTCCACAGAAGTTTTCCTGCGTTGCCGGGCTGAGGTTTGCAGCTTCAGGGCGCCCTGGTCCTGTAACGGGGTTCTGACTGGTAATGGCATTTCAGACACTTGCCGGGAATTTCCGTGTACCTGCCTGTCTGTAGAGAGAGGCTTTTCCGATGGGTTCCTTCCTTTGCCAACCCCACCACCTGGTTTGCAAAAAACCAACGCTTTTGGACCCGAGGCATCGGCAAGACGGGGTACAAGGTGCCCCTTGTTCGGTGGATGCAGGAACAGATGATCCACCCGAAAGGCTCGTTGCTGGCCTTTGTTTTAGCGGGCAAATGAAGGGATGCTTGAGAGTTTTCTTCCAGTAGCAAGAAATGACATTTTATATATGAAATTTAAATTCTGCGGAAGACTTCCAGTGGTGGTCGTGCTCCCGAATGCTACAGGCACTTTTGAATACCCTCTTGTAGAATTTTGACTGGAGCTTTCACTGTGCAACACAGCTTGTATCACAGCGCTGGAGGTTTTCTAGGATATTTTTTTTTTAGTTTAGTTTTTGCAACGTCTGATTTTAGTTAAATCTCTGATTGCATGTACTTGTGCAGTAAGAGCAGCTGTATAAAATAGTATTCTCTAGCCACTTAAAAAGTAGGTCTGTCTGTCATTGGAGATTGATTTGGCCTATACTTTCAGATACAGGTTTCTAACATAGTTGCAAACAAAAATTTATCCTGACTTTTGTGGAAATATTGGACTTGGATTTTTTTAGTGAGAGGGGAAAAAACCTGCTATGTAAAATGGCCCCAAGTTTCCTCCCTGAGTTTCTTTAAGTCATATTTGCTTATTTCAGTGAACAAACTGTTTCCATTGTCCACGTAATCGTGGAGGAAGTTGGACTCTGTGGTGCCTTGTGCATTAGCAACAAAAGTGACGTCTGAAATTCCAGTATCAGAGAGTTCGTTACACGTGACGGTGTGTGCGGGAACCCGGCTCAACCCAGAGGCTTCGAGCTGGAGTAAACCCCAACTTCCCTATGAAGTTTGCACACAGAATCGCCACCTCAGCCAAACTAAGAATTGGACCTGGATTTCCGCTATCAAAAAGATTTGTATCTTCTACTTGGTAAAGGATAATGAATTGCTAACCGTTATTAATAGATGCCTTTGGAAAAACAGGATTCAGATGATGCATAAAAACTATGGTTAATCTCACCTCATCATGCCTTTAGTAAAATGACTCCAAATGGAAAACGTAAGCTGGTCTAGCAGTGCAGTTAGATAAAATTGAGAAGATTATCTCCACTAAAGTATTAATTTCCTCTCGTCCCCTTTGTTGGCCTTCTTACTAGTTCATAAAAGCTTTATAGTTTCTAGCGTTGCCTTACAGAGTCCGATGGAAAGTCCTGTACGACACAACAAAAGGCGAAGGTGGGAAAAGGGGTGATCCGAGGAACGTTGTGGCCGAGTTTCCCTTTGTGTCGCAGTTGAAGCGGGTTGTGCAGATGGAAGCTGCCCCCTCTCAGATCTGAAACGTGCTTAATTCATGTGGACACTACCGCGAGGGAAGAGGCAGCGTTCGGCTGGAGGCTGTTGTAGGTAGCGGTGCCCCAGAGGCACACGTGCCACCTTGGTTTTACTTTTTTTCCTAAAACTTTATTAAAGTAGCTTTGATATGTAGCACAAATGTATGCAACCGACCATGCCCTAGCTCGGATTACACACCTGTACTGGAATATCTTCTCATTTAAAGGTGGTCTTGGCTAGTTTGACCAGGATTTCGTACATTTTTGTTACTAGTAGAGAGTCACTAGCAGGAACTTTGACTCTTTTTAATCGGTGTAGCCGTACACAAGGGCCTGGCTGCTGGCAGATGATACTGATGGCCTTGTGCTTTTAAATGACTGTGGTGATTTTTTTTTTTTTAATTATTATTAATGTATTGAACTGAATTGCAGTTTGTATTTTGTGTTAAGCTTGTCTTAGAAGTAATCCAGTGCTGTCCATTTGATTTAATTGCCAGGAATCAGCATGCGTATGTACAAAGATGGAGAAATCTAATCGTAACAAATTTCCCCAAAGCTCTGGCTACCCATATATACCGTGAAAAGGTCAGGGAGTAACCTCTGAGAAAGAGTTAAACCAATTAGTTTCCTCTACCCTTAAGGATCAGCATACTTTGAACCGTGCAGAGGTCTCCTTTGCAGGGTGAAGAATATTCAGGACTCCATCTCAAGCAGGGAGTTTTGACAGCCGTGCCTTGTGCTGCTTACTAACACGAAACAGCACAAGGAGCAAGAAGGGGGCAGCGCAGTGAAGGACTCTGGCCGTATCACAAACGTCTGTGAGCTTTCCTAGTTCTCTAAGGTACTGGGTGGGTAGGAGGAATGGAATTTCACAAATAAGCTGGTAAGCTAGAACGAGAAATAATTAGTCACTATATAGTAGTTGATTGAGCGGTATGGTTAAGAAATTCAGTATGTTTTTTATTATGTACATGCTTTCGTATTTATGTTGTCTTTCTTGAATATTCAGATGAATCAAATACTTACATTTTAACAGAAAGGGCTGTTAAGGATTCAGAGTATTAAATCTTTCATGTGTTCCTTTCTGGTGGTTGCTAGAAATAAGGCAGTTACTGATGGGAGAACAAGAGGCTCACCGCAGAACTGAGCAGCAAGCCCTGGCAAATAAAACGGAACAAGGACTTCTCCGGCAGGAGCCTTTGCCCGAGTTGCCATTTTATCCTTTAGCAACGAGTCAGGTTCCCAGATGGGCCCTTGAATTGTGCTCTCCAGATTGATGAGGCTTTAAAAAGACAGTTAACATATTACTCCATACATGTTTTGGTTCATCTTCCGTTTCTGCCAGTACGTGGATACTAGAGGAGTCAGCACCAGTCTCTGCTGCTGGGATGCATCGAGGTCACTCTCCCGATGGCGGCAGCCTACTCTCTGCACGCTAGATTGAACTATTCCCCTTCGGTAGATATGTACGAGCATGTTTGCAGTAGCGTTTAGATTTTCTTAACCTGAGATTGTACGTTAATGACCGGTGATGTCACCTACCTGCTTTAGCTTGTTAAGCATTATTCACCTATTTTGTTACTAAAGGCCTGTACTATGTATGCCCTCTTATTTCATATGTGAAACTGTAAGTTCTATTTTTGACATTTTAATAAACTTTGATTTGAAAACTGAGGCTCATGAGAAAATAAGGATGTTGTAAAAATATATTTAAGGACACAAACTGGAGGCATTGGGAGTTTTGAAACCACAGTCAGTCCAGAGACAGCAGCAGCTTTAGGGTACGTATGATGAAGGTTGTTCCCAGCAATTTGCGCGAGATCTCAGTGACAGGTAACATCATCTTTTTACAGTTGCGACAGTTTTGTTCAAGAAGTTAAAGCCAGATAAAAGTTCAAGAAGTTCAAGAAGTTAAAAAAAAGTTCAAGAAGTTAAAGCCAGATTTAAAAATAATTTAAAAATTGCAACTAGTTCTTTTAACTAACAAGATTGAAAGGTGAATAGAAGTGGAGCGTTGCTGCTCCAAGGATTTATTGTCAAATTGCTGGAAAAGTTCAAAAGTAGCTCAACGTTCACTCTCTGCCCCGTACGCTGAACCGTAGCTGTACCTTCACCTTACGGCTGTCAATTAGGACACTC